TGTGGCGATCTCGGACCCAGCCGGCTTTCCGCTGAAGAATCCGACCAGAAGGATTCCAGAGAGACAACATGTTGTGCGATTAGAGTCGGGCGCTGCTTGTATGTCAACAACCACACAGACTTGACGCCAAAAAGGACGCCAGACCATGTCTGCGAGCAGAAAATCAGCAAGACTGAAACTAGAGGAAGGATATTCCCGTCCCTCCCGACGGTTCGTTTCTCTTAGAACGGGCGGGATGAATTTTGACTTTCAACGGCTCACTCATTCCAAAACGACGGCGTCTTCCTCAACCGGGGATGGCACACAATTGACACCACCCAAAACGGCATTGGATGAACCTCTCACGACCATCATCGAAATTTCGCAACGCCGTCTCGTTCGTAAAGACCCGCTGTCTATCGTCTGGGCCCCTTACTCTAGCTCTTCTTAGGCAATGAGATGCACACCTTCAGGACGCTACGCCGCTGCTGTCACCTCGGACAATTCGGTGTCAATAGCGCCAGAGACTCGGCGCTAGGCAGGGAGAACGTGGACTGTTCTCATTTCGCCCCTCGGTTGGACGGACCTGACTCGTGTCCACATCTGCCCATGTGCCATCGAATGTCTGCGGCCAGTGCTTCGGCGATAACACGGATAGGAGTGATGGGAGTCCCCTGACAATCCCCAAGAGCCGATACGCGTGCTGTTGATCCTTTCCTCGCGTCCAACAAAGCTGCCCGTTACCCACATGCCATGGAAACGTCACAGAGGCATTGACCAAATCCCCCCTCCTTGGGACCGGCGCTGGCGAATCGAACCGGATGGTCGCTGGAGCTTCACAGGACGTTTTTTTTCTGCCCTCCTCCACTCACTTTGAATGCAGGGACATGCCTCGCCGTGAAATGGCTCTATTGGGAAACCCTCCCGGTAGCGACTGCACGGAGGTTACAACTCGAAGGGTTTCGGCGGAGCCGGTCGTTTGAAATACACCGCTGCCATGTCTGCCATGTCTGCCATGTCCAGTCGGCAGGCCGCACGAGGTGCCACGAGCGTCTTTGCGGTGGGAAATACAAGAAAGAAACCCGCATTCTGCTTTCAAACTTACTACTAAACCAAACCTTCTTTGCCTGTACCCCAGCCAAGCTGCGAGTTTTGTTTCCTGAATCGAACATTCCATCCCCTCCCCAAAGGAATCCAATCCCAAACCGCGCCAAATAAGCCCGCAGCACCTGTCAGCAGATACCGAATCAAAAATGGCCGCTACGACTACGATCCAGGTCCCCCACCTCGGCGGCATCACGGCCGGCTACCGTCTGTCCGGGGACAAGGTCGACCCCGCCAAGCCCACCGTCGTGCTCATCAACTCCATGTGCACCACTGTCTCCCTCTACGATGCCCAGTTCAACAGCAAGACGTTGACCGACGCCGTCAACCTGCTGGCTATCGAGCCTCTCGGCCACGGCTCCACCAGCTGCCCGGCCGAGCACTTCACCTACTGGGACACGGCCATCATGGCCCTGCAGGTGATGGACAAGCTCGGTGTCGAGAAGGCTTTCGCTCTCGGCACTTCCCAGGGCGGCTGGATGGTCACCCGCATGGCGCTTTTGGCTCCCGAGAGAGTACGTAGCTTTCCATCCCTTTCCATCCACGTGATCTTCCACTGTCACATTGTCATTTGCTTTTGACCACAGACATTGCAACATGGTGTTGCTTTTCAGTGTCTATCACTGTTGATCGATGCATATTGTGGACTCCTCAGCTAACGTTATTCGACAATGATAGATTCTGGGTCTCTTGCCCTTGGGCACATCCATGGACTACGAGTCAGCCGACTCTCGCGGCAAGGGCTGCTGGGACCCCAAGGCTCAGCTGCTGGCCTTCTACGACGCCTGGTCCAGCCCTGTCCCGACGCCTGACTTCCTCGTCGACGACATCTGGTGCGGTATGGTCGGCAGCCTTGGCTTCTCTGGCACCGTGCCTCCTGAGACCCTGGCTTTCTGGACCAACACCCTCAAGTCCGTCTACAAGGGCGATGAGGGCCGCAAGAAGCTCAAGATTGCCCTTGGTAACCTTCTGTCCCGCGATGGTCTCCTGTTGAGACTCAGGGATATCAAGTGCCCTGTCTACTGGCTCCAGGTACGTGCATGCAGGATCAACCATGGGGAACGAAGATGCGAGGCATTCGGCTCCAGGTTGAGTGTAAGCGAGCGAACTGTGCGCTAATCATGTTTAGGGTACCGCCGACCCCGTCTTTGGCGTCAACATTCCTGTCGAGCAGATCAAGCTCTTCACCGCGTCGCCGGAGGCAACCCTCACGATGGTTGAGGGCGGCGGTCACTACCTCAACGCCACGAGCCCCAAGGAGGTTGAGGAGGCTCTGCTCGCCATGGTCAAGAAGTATGCTTAAAGGGTCAGTCAGGCCTTGTTGTATTTTTGGGATGGGCCGTGCGATGGCGTTATGATCATGAGTCGTGGAAAGCGATACGCGAGGGACATTGAACATGGAACATCGGCCCCCAAGTTGTATGTGCGGCTGACAAGTAAATAATCCGAATCTGAAGGAAATACCCAAAAGAACTTGAGATTCATCAGTGACCACGTCTGGCCTCCACCCGGGGAAATTCCGGGCGGGTAATTATTGCTTGCATTGCACTCTGAAATCTTACGGAATGAGCGAAAACAATCAGTTGTCAAAAACACGGCCGTGTGCAGCGTTCAGGGGCTGAGGCAAGTGATCTGACGATCCCAGCGTCTACCAAACAACCTCTGGACCCTCCGTCAAGTGCGACTTAACCAATAAAAACCAAGGTTCGTTATTCAATGTGACAGGTTGTATACCTGTCAGCCTACTCGGTCAGTATCCGACGTTGATCGGAAAAGTTGCGACCTTGAAGTTGCCTCGTCCTTGCGATCCGTTTGATGTAGGATTTCGTCGAGGTTACCTCCTGTCTGCTATTGCTACCATTCCATCCCACACAGCTGGGACGCGAAGCGTGAGGGTTATGTTCACCATTTTGGGAGATTTTCTGCTGTCCGACGGTTGCCGTCGGCCGCTGCCGCTCCTGGCGTTAGCTGACCGTCAGTCGATGAGCTGGATGGGGCAGTTGTGACCCAGTGTTTAACCAGTATCATGACTCGCAACTCCGAGTTGATGCCAAGCCATGGCTAAATATCGGAAATGGTTCACGATGGTCTAGGCCGCCAAAGGAGAAACTTTCGCCTTTTCGGAGTCAAAAACAACGCAAGCCTCTCTCATCGGTTTGTGGGCGATTAATCTCCAGAGCGAAACTCGCAAAGTTTGCGAGGGAAGCAGCTGGAAATGAGTTGTGAGCTATTCTTGCAATAGCCGCAAAGTCAAATGCAAAACTGGAAGGTTACAAAGCATAATAAATTGCACACAAGTGCGAGGTCGTCATGTTGACAGAGGTAATTAAAGAGAAACAAGATTCTGCCTAGGACACATGATGCTGATTGAGGAAGGTTCGCTATTGTTTGGGAAGCCAACAGAGAGCTCTTGATGCAGAGACACCATTCAGTTGCTACAACTCTTACCGACGGTGTTTCTCTCACTATACATTGAGGAAGGAAACATGTCTTATATGGCCATAAAAATGAAAATCGACAGGGTGCATGGCTTGTGATGCCCTCAGTATTAGCCGATACTGAGCACACTGAAAATCAATATTCTCTCTCTCTCTCATACCTAGTAGTTTCAGCCGTCTTTATGGACAGTCGAAACCCACGAAACCCGTCTTACTAGTCTCAGCCAGTCATAAAGATACACAATGTAGGTGCTTGATGGTTCTAACTCAGCTCATCTCCCTCCGTCTTGGAGACGGCGTGAGAAACCCTTCTTTCATGGTTGCTGGCGGATAAGTTAGCAAGTTGAGCCCGCAGTAAGTAACCTGATAGACGAAAGAAAGTAAACAGCGAAGATTCCTTAGAGTTTCCTGAGTCTCAGCGAAAAGTCGCCAACGCGACAAGGTATCCATCGTACCTTAGACGTGGCCAGCACTACAGGGAACTTTCAAAGTTAGCGTTCCTCAATCTAGCTTATCTGCTGTGAACAATTATTGATTATAGTAGCTTCGGCTTCTTTTCATCGATTACAGGCTATGTCTTATTGCATTCAATCAAGCATGTTCTCTGACTTTCATGGGATACCTTTACGCATGCCGCCGTAAAACACTTCTCACGCCGAGGGGGTATCTAAAACAATGTTCATTATTTACGGCGAGTAACAATACGCCGTCGCCACGATATGAAGTCCCTAGAGCAATACGTTCGCCAAGTTTGCGGTTGGAAACATCGTGACTATCCAGAAATTTGGAGCAGCCAGCTGTGCGCAGTTGTGAAGCTTCTAATGCGAATCCTCGCCAAGGACTGACCCATAAGCGAGAGTATGATAATGCACGATAATGTCGCGTGACGTCAACTCTCGAAATGATTGGAAGAGATGCAATACTCAGCACCCAACGCTATGCCGTAAGCCTTGGGAGTAGAACATACACCTGTCGAAAGTGATTGTGTGCGAGTGCCTGACCTTATCCCCGCTTTGGCCGCACTTTTGCACACATCGCAATCGCCAAGCTGCACCACTGGCATAGCCGACTCCGAAAGTTCTCTTTCATTGCCAAGGTATTGTTTTTGTTCCTCAAAACAGCTTCATAGAAGTCGCATGCACTCTGAGTCGAATGGAAACCTAACAATACAAGCCCCTTGGACCAGGGCAGTCTATCCGATACATGGTCCTAGAGCCCGGGGGAGAGGATGATCCCTTAGTCTGCAGTCTTCACGAGTCGGATGTCAACTCTGCCACCTTCGAAGCAATATCGTACGTGTGGGGAACGGTTTTCCGAGACTATTCCATTCTTTGCAACGGAAAAAATCTTCTAATTACCCACAATCTTCAGAATGCTTTGCGACAGGTTCGGCGGTCAGACGCTCCCCGAGCTTTGTGGGCAGACTCCATATGTGTCAACCAGAGCGACTTTAAGGAGAGAAATCATCAAGTCGCCATCATGGGTCAGATCTACAGCAAAGCCCAGAAGGTCTTGTTGTGCATTGGACCTGACCATAAAAACAATGCCCAAAACGCAACTGCACTTGCGAATGACGTCAGTACCATGATTCTCGAGACTTTCGAGACCGTTGGTTACTCTCCTGCAAGCTTCCCCTACCCTGAAGGTGACGGAATGCTTGGAACGGACCCAAGATGGAGTTCTTTTGCGACCATGCTTGAGACTTCGTGGTTCCGGCGTGGATGGGTTGTTCAAGAGTCAGGGTTGGCGAAACACGCTGTCATTCTGTGGGGTGATTGGCAGATTCCTTGGGATTCATTCATGAGAACATGGTTTCTGGCTGATCGGCTGAATGTTTTCACATTTCCTAGCAATTCTCTGCTGCCCACGTTTGATAAGATACGGAAAGCTCTCAACATCATACACAGGGACGTCTTCCTGGCAACACATCGACAAGAGAGTGTAGCTTGGTACCCCACTTCCAGTCTCGCTCTGACCACCAATCATCTGGAGATCATGAGAGATAGCCATGATCTACTACTCGCTGATCAAAGAGACCGAGTCTACGCATTTCATGCCCTGGCACAAAGAATTACACCATCCACATTTCAATCTTACACCCCCAACTATGAACTCAGTATAAACGACACATATCTCGATTTCGCGCGGAACTATCCCCTGGACAAGTCAGATCTCACACTCCTGAACTACGTTCATCATGATGCAGACTCAATCACCGATGAACTACCTTCATGGTGCCCTAGGTGGGATTTGAATCTGTTCGACGCCTACATATCAACTCCGTCGAGCGCTATCATTCAAACCTCCACGACCCCGTCTGGTTCAGTCAATATTCTTCCCGCAGATATACTACAAGTCCGTGGTGTGATTATCGACTCTATCGCAGCGACATCGACGTGGCTCTCGAGAGAAGGAACTATTGACGACATCAGCCTGCTTTGGCAAAGCTGTAGGACAAATTGGGGCTCGTCCATGTACCCTGCAGGCGGGAATATCGTGGCATTTCTGGATTGCCTGACGATCGGGCATGTGCGTGGCGAAATAGATGCCTGGTACGGAAACTACGCCCATTATCTGTATCAGCTATTTGTCCGAAGTAAGGAACCTGACATTCCCAAAGACCTGGTGTCTTTAGTGAACGACATATAGCGCTACTAACCAATTAATTAAGTTAAATTAAGGGGTCTGATTTAGCTATTTAGCCTAAAATTCATAGTAGATTTAGTTATTTAGTTTATTTAAACTTAAATTAATAGATTTAATCTAAAATTACCTATTTAGGAAGT